ACAATCCAATATCATAATCAGACACACTGATCGCACCTTGGTACTCAACAAGAATGTCTGCGATCAGCTGATGGACATCATTGGGCACGTAGTCAAACACACACAAATCAAATTCCTGCCTATTTATCACAACCGACTGTTGTTCGACAGTCCTCTGTTTCGGGCCGAGCGCTAGGGGAGATGAGATGGAGTTATCAGATTGCCATGAAAATACAGTGGCGATCATCTGGACATTTGCTTTGTTGATCGCTATATTTTCGTCTTTTATTATCCCATCTTCCTCGTCTTTGGGGTCTACTGTCTTGTCAGCTATAGTGATTCTCATGCCAAATGAGAGTGGTCTAAGATGCCCAAGGGGTTCTGAATCTTTGGCTTCGGCACCGGAAAAGATCACAAAATGACCTCTTGTCAACCTCGAACTGTATGAGTGGTTCTCCCATAATCAATGTTCAAGCTCACTGAACTGCACCCTGAAAGGACTTGGTCGAGTTGATCACGAAAGTGCGGGCTGTTTTCCGTCGAGCAAGGTAACGACGTACTTGGCGCACTAGCACATCTATGGCTGTCATCACATCCAAGTCCTTATCACTTTCATCCTCGAGTGCTGTTTGGCTGGGTTCATAGATCAGGGAATCGTTTGCCTCGCTGTCAGTGTGCAGTAATGCATCAAACCCATTATCCTCCTCATCGAGGTTGGAATTATCGTTGGAGGAATCGGATTTCGCTAGCGGTAAGATGGCTCAGATGGCATGTGTGATGGCCGGAGGCACCTCTCAGGGCTGGCCAAAACATTGCATAGTATTAGTCTCATTGGTAGGTTGTACGGCTTTCCACCCGTGTTCTTGAGAATCATAATCTGCCGCTCAAAGTCCAAGTTAGCCTGGACAGCGATGATGGCAGGTAGGCCTAGAAGCACATTGTACGAAGCTACATTCAAGACTAACACAGCTCCCAAAACATGAACTTCTCTTATTTGTATTGCCATGTTAATCATCCTTCCGATTGCATGGGTCTTTCCTTCATTTGCTATTAGATAATGATCCCTCTTTGGAAGGCGGATAAGATCATTCTTTCTTCCTGCCTTTTCTACCAAACAGAGTGGCACAACTAGCACAACTGATCGAGAGTCAATGATGGCACCTTATGGCATCGCACTCCGCCGACTTCCTTTTTGATGGGCTTGATTCAAAGGAAGCGATCGTCTCCCCGGATCAAGCCAACACGTGCAAGCTCAAAAGTGCTTGCAACAACGTCTTTGGAGTGCAGTGGGGATTTTGCAGGGGCCTTTCCCTTCATCACTACCAATTTAGCTAAATCGCTTTTGGTTAGCTTTGCAATGTTGTAGCATACAATCATTAGCCAATTCAGACATAGACAGGAGATGATTGATAAGAAAGGGTATGCGATGATTGAGGGCGCGAATGATTTTCAACACATCAATCTACCTTGATTTTGAGGCAGGGCCGCCGGGTTCGATCTCAGTAGGCGTGGGTCTCCATTTAGAGACTCCTCTGTCCTCAGATGTTGCAGATTCTATAGCCTCAATAAGTCCCAACCCTAGATATCCCAAAGTAACATATTGCTTGAAGGGGATTAGTTCAATGGAGGTTTCTTCAGTAGCGGCGATGCTGGTTGAAGCCCCCTCGGTTTCTTCTACTACGATTCCTACCCGACCTGGACCATTTGCTCATGGTGCAGCGGTTGCAGGGGCAGCCCAACCTTGGCCTGAGGAGGCCGATTAGGACAGTCCTTGGCCACGTGCCAGCTGGTGGCAAACAATATAGCCATCAGCTTAGGCAGCTGCGGCTGCTGTCCCCACAACTGCTTGCTGAGCTTGCTGTGCCGCAGCAGGTACCATCTGAGTCTGGGGTATGGCAATGGGGCACGTTGCTTGCATCATTGTTTCCATCCTCGCATTGTGTTCCGGTTGCTGCTTCAGGCTCTCCTGCTGCTGTTTCAAGTTATCCTCCATCGTCATCATGGTCGACACGAGTTCGAGCATAGCTGAGGGCAGGGGTGGACGGAGGCAGAGGAGGTGCAGCTGGTGTAGGATGCCTTGTTCAAAGTGCGACATGTTTGTGGTACGTGATGCGTACAAAGTTTCACCCCATGTTCTTGTACGTATCCTGCAACCCTGCCGGCTCTGCCTTAGCTTGCACTAGCTCTCCAGGCTCACCGTCTTTCGACTGATCCACGTTTTCCAAGAAATGCGCAAAGAATTTCTTGCCATTCTTCGGTCACATCCATGATTTGCTGCGGGGTGTGGTCGATGGGAGAGAACTGCTTTCACAACTTAGCTCTCATCACACTGCTCTTGAGCCCATCAATGAACAAGTCGCGGGCTTGTTTCTCGTCCCTATTCGACTTAGCAAGCAATCGATAGAACCTACTGCAGTAATCCTAAAGAGACTCAAGAGGCTTCTGCACTCGGTCTTTGATCATGAAGAAAACCTGCTCTTGGTGGATGCAATCAAACTGATGGAGAGAATCTCTCTCTCAGGTGTTTTATGTTCACCCAGTTGTAATTAGTGAACTAATGGGTGCACTTGCCCTCCCAAGCGGGCTGGGATGTTAGTCCTTGCCTTCTCATTCATGTATTGTTGCGCTCGAAGGTGGTAAGCCATGCCCCCGCGAGGTGCTCAGTAGGTTTGAACATGTACAGGGTAGGAGGAGTGACTGGAGATCGGACACGTGCATGATCCTGTGCCGGCTGATTAACGTGTTGGTTAGCCGACACATTAGCGGCTATATTCTGGTTATGCACGGCGTTAGACCGATTGGGATCTTGATTAGCATTCATTTCTTCATGCTGTCTTCCCGCGGGCCTGCTACAGGTTACCACGGGATTGTGCGTGTGCGCTTTGGTTCCCTTAGATCGTTTGCAACTTGGACTCGCCAGGTGGAAGAGCGATGGATCCGGTACACATGTCTATCCTCAGAACCGGCACGTGTCGGCTCTGATACCAACCTCACACCCTGCACGACTTCCTGATTGGAGTGGGAGTAGGCCCTGAAGTGCGGAATAGGCCAATGATTTTAGGAAAGTGGGGGTTGGCAAAGGCTTCTGGTGCCAGATTTCTTCCTCACTACCAACACGGTAGGGAATCTCGCGGATGTGGTATGTCTCCTCCCGCTTGCTCTCAAAACACAGAATTGTCTACCGCGTGGGCGCGGGGAACGCAGCCCTAAGGTAGCCAAATTAATGAGACTAAGAGCTCGCACAAGAGAGAGAGAGAGAGAGAGAGAGAGAGAGAGAGAGAGAGAGAGAGAGAG